TGCCCTGGGTTGCTTCTCACAAGGACATCCCTTCCCTGGCTTTGTAGGCACAAAAGAGAGTGAACTTCACGTCCCTAATCAAAAGCCTTGCTGTTAAATCTGGCAGAATTAACATCACGATTAACTGCATGTCCAAGAAAGCATTAGAAATGTGGGAAGGAGCAGGAAGGACAGAGGCCAATTTCATAGAGAACAAAGATATCTGAGAAAGAGCCAAAATATTAGCTTTGGATGTCTGAGAACATCTTTCTCTTGTGGAGCTCATTAATGCTGTATACTGTGCTTATAAATATCTAAAAAAACCCATCATTGTTTGGATTAAATACTGGCTTGCAAAACATGTAAATAAGCATAATTAGCACACTAGCTTTCATTTCATCCCAAAAGATGCAGTGCTCTTCATAAAGATGGAAGAGCCAGACTTTACCCAAGATAAGTAAAATAACCACATTCTGATTAATCCGGAAAAGCTATCTTCCTTTTTTTTTTTTTTTTGGTGAAATTAAAAGAGAAAGATATCTAATGTTTAGCTCAATGAGAGTAAACCTTTGCGGGAGGAAGGGACCCAACCCTTAAATCAGCAAATTTCAACCTCTGACCGTTACACCCTCAATGCTTTTGAAAGATAGTCCAAAAAAAGCAAGCATGTTGCCATGAAGACTTCAGGAAAAGGTGTATACTCTTAAAATAAGGAAAGTGATAGAGATGCTTGCTCCAACTGCTCCATCTCCTGAAATAACGTAACAAGTCACTTAGCAGCATTTGTCCAAACTCGATTCCCCAGGTAAGATTTCCAATGGTTCCTTTCATCCTAACATTCTTTCTTTGGACACAAACCTGAATGTTAGTGAATTTTGCAGGTAACTCCTTTTTTTCTGCCAGCCCATTCATATCAAAGCTATTCCAGGATTCTGTTTACATTGTAGTTACTCCCTCTCCTCTAGGCTGACATTATGCCAATCACTTCAAAGAACAGAAACTAAACTCAAGGGCACAATTAAATGAACTGCTGTAACCGATGCAGGCTGAACAATAAACAGATGGCCAGCAAAACCAGGGGAACCAAGAGGAAGGGGAGGCTTAGAAGTGATTAATAGTACACAGGTCAGCTTCACTTTGGAGGCATCTCATGGTAAGTTGTTTGCTTTGTAGGCTTTGAGGGAGTTGTTTTGTTTTACCCTAATCTGCTGGTGCACACGGCCTTCAGCTGCAGTACTGCAAAGTGTTTTAATCAGGAATGCAAAGTCACAAATGCACTCAGGCAGGCCACAGATTTCAAGTCATTAGCTACAGGACTCACCTTTTCCTCAGAAGCCAGGGGGAGAGAGCTGTGGACCTGGGGACTGCATGGAGGGCTGCTCATGTATTCAAAGGGTCAATTGGTCTATTTTAGCATCTCTCTTCCCCCCTGAAAAAACCCTATTAAGGGCATAATGCACTGGACTGATACAGTTAAAACACTATAAATACACAGACTCTCCTCCTTTAAGATACCTGTTGTAAATGCTCACTGGAACGCACACAAAGAATTGTTCCTCACTCCACAGTCTAGCGTTTCCACTCAGCCACTTACCGTTCCTACCAGTGGATACAGGAATCCAGCACCAACACTGGCTCGAACGTCTCGAATTGGCAGAATAAAACCTGTAGGCGCTCCTTTTTGTTCAGGGTCATGAGACAACGACAAGTGAGTTTTAGCCATGCAGATTGGCAAGTTTCCAAATCCCTGAGGGAGGCAATGACATGGAAGAGAGAAAGAGATAGAAAGAAATAAACAACAACACTAACCTTTCTTGTACACAAATGTAATTGCTCAGTTCTGCCACTCTCTGGGTCATTAGGCCACCCTACTCCTTCCCAGTTGCTTCACCCACAGCCTGTCAAACGTGTTGACCATTTCAGGATCCCAAGTCCTTCCCCCACCTTCTAAATATTAAGGAAAGAACAACCATGGTCTCCAGCAGAATTGGTTGTGGAAAACACTAATAATATGGAAGTATTAGATATACAACCTTTATATCCAGCTTACTTTCTACTCTCTCCCAGCAATGTTAATTTAAATAGCTCAGAACTAAAGCTCTTGTTCAGCCGAGGTCAGTTAACTAGTTGCAAGGAAGCAGCAATTACATAGCTACGGTATGAAAGCCCTACAGAACTGTAAAGGAATATACAGGATATGCTAAAGGGAGAAACTATATGTGCCAGTATAAAATGGACTCCAAAAAGCAAAATTATCGAAGCACTCTCTAAACAAACAGTCACTGATTCTCAGACTGCTCTTCTCTTCAAAGCCCTTTACACATCTTCATTAATGCAGAAACTATCTGAAAGGGAGGTAAATTCACAAGAACATCATGCTAGAGAGAGCCAAAATGCAATGCAACAACCAGAAAGCATCATATTTAACAACTAGATGCCAGATAGCGTAAAGTATAAAGGATAAAAGTAAAAGGGTAAGAGTAGCCATTTCTTCACAAGAAGCATTATATCACCTGTGACTCTTTCCCCAGCATATCTGTGACTGCCGAAAATTCACGTGGGTTCAAAAAGGATTAGACAAGAACAAAAATCATCAGAGACTATTTAGCCACTCATTCTCAAGCCGCTGGAAGATGGGAGAGTACGGTAGAGAAATATCACTAAATTCTCATGCCCTTCTCTCCCCATACAGTATTTGAGATGTACTACAGGGGGCCAGATGTGTTTTGTACCCTCCACTAAAAGCCAGCATCGGATTCTCACCACCTGTCCTACTGCTTCTTCCTTCTCTGCCAGAGCAGCATCCAGTGGGCCCTGAGTAATATCATCAATCAAATCATATCCCCTTTATACACAGTTTGAACACCACTGTAAAATATGAACATTTTAAAGAAAGCATCACAGCATATCAGACGACTTGGAAGATTCACCTGCTTAGTGTACAAGGTGACTTTCTCCTCTGCTTCCGGAAACAGCTCAATGTCACTTGCCCCATAGATCTGCTGTGCAATAAGTCTGATCTTATCTGTAACAGGGAGCTAGGAAAAAAAAAAGACAGGTAAGTCAGTGTGACCAAACTACAAAGAGCTATAACATCACAGTAGCTTAATGGCCCTTCATACATGCCATGCAATGCAATGCCCATCTGCAGCTTTAAGAGCTACTCCCATTTGCTTCAAAATGAAGCTATATAATAATTTGAGGGTTTTCAAAACAGATTTCATTTATCTTGTTGTAGCTGTTTCTCTGGGTAAGAGGACAAACAAAACTAGCTTACTATTGTCGTCCCCCCCCCAAAAAAAAAAAAAAAGATACACACCAATATTTCTGATAAGCTGTTCTTACATGTTAACTATCCCCTCAGAAGAGACAGGTTATTTTTTTCCTCAAGTTTAAGTCAAAAGCCATTTTTGACAAAATATAAGGTAACGGTTAAAAGAAATAAAAGCACAAATAAGCTTAAGGTTAAAGAAGAAAAGCTGAAAGCATTTTTTTAAGGAGCTAAAATAGATAATAATGATGTGGCTCTGTACTTCGTTAGGTTCTTGAATAGATGCTTGCTATTGAAGGAGGATTCAAGCCATAGCCTGGGTGTCTGACAGCAAGCAAAAAGGTGTCTGCCTCATGCCTGGTTTTTGACTTGAAGGAGACAGACAGCGACCCAACGGTCAGCCGCAGCCTGAACGTGCAAGAGAGACTTTACAGAGGCATAAGACACCTCAGACAACTGCTGTCCTTAACAAAACTTCCCTCAAAGCCAAATTCTCTCTCATGTGGACTCTCTACAGCCTACAAAATTACAAGCTGCTGTTGAGGACTTTCTTGCTACTGAGGCATCCATGTGATTTTTCTTCTTGCTGTTTAAAAGGTTGAGCTCATGTTGCAACTTGTCCCCTTGCTGGGCTTCAGGCATTATCTTCATGGAACTGTCAGGGACTTTATTACCTCCGAGTCCTCTGTCAAATCTGCTCGAGAGCAAAGTCATAAGAAATACACATACTCTTTTCTAGCTCACCTGCGGTGTGACTCCATAAGCCTCATTTGCAAAGAAAAAAAAAAGTTAAAAAATAGACACATTCTGTTTTGCAGCTTGGTGTATGGATCCCCACCCTGAGCATGAAGTATACCCTCAAGCTTTCTGGTAAGGCAGCAAGTTCAGCAAGGTTTGTTCCAGTCCATCCTCTGACAGCAAGGCTATGCCTTCAGTTCAAGAAGTCAACCTCCTCAGCCTGGAACATGGCTGCCCCAGTAGAAACCCGTTCTAATAGAGTCACAGCAACATCTTTCAGCGCCAAGAGTAAACAACATTTCACTTGGTAATCAAAACTGACAGACTGGGTCTTTGAAGCTGGTGGAATAAGTTTTAGATTGTAAAAACAATTTTCTTTTTTTTTTTCACAGCAGCCTTTCAGGCGACCTTCACCAACTTCGGCCTGTGAAACTAACTAGTCCCCACCTAATGCACAGAGTACTTCTGTTCCACATCATGATGACTGACTGTACTTGACAACAAACTAGAACGCTTTCCTGAGCTAAGGATGAAATGAAGGACTAAGTACGGCCCTCTGTGATAGTGCGAGTTCTTACCTCCACGTTATAGAGGAACCTGAAGTTGCTGGGAGCCTGTGATGCTCTCTCAACAGCTTGGGCCAGTGCAACTGCTCCTTTACCGCCCTCTGCCCAGTGAGTGCATTCCACAGCATCGAATGCTCCTGCTTCCTTTGCCAGTTGTACTACAAGGGCCAGCTCAGCCTTTGTATCTGTTCTGTAAAGAGAATAATTTGCATATTTGTACCAGAACATACACACAATAAATTAGCTGCTTGCTTTAACCATTCATCTCTCTTCTCAAACAAGACAAATATGGTAATAAAAAAGAAAGTCACAGAATCCAGCCATCAGGAAACCGTTTCTACATTTAGGGGCTATCTACCACAAGCCTTCACCACGCCACCTTGGTGAAGGAAGCTACTCCACACAGGAACAGGTAACAACAGGTAACTCTGGAACTACATGTAGAAAGCCATGACTGACCAACAGAGCAGTGTTCTAGACTTTCTCCTATTCGTATCCCTTATTGGCAATGCAACTCCTGTTTTCACAAGTAAATCCAAAAAGTCGTTAGTACTGCCGATTTAGACATGCCAGGATGTGCTACATCACGTGCATACCACAAGCTAAAAACTAGAATTGCTCTAAATTGGCTAATATACATTAGTATGAAAAAAGCCTTTGTGGGCTACTCCACTGCAATTGGTAGCAGTTTTAACACACCAGTTAAAAGCTCTTCTGCTTGTAATAAAAAGAGACAACAACAGAATTTATTTCCTCTGTAGTATAAGGTGGAAAGCTCTAAATGCTTCTCAGCAGAGCAGTTATTCCACACAGCAGACCACCAAACGCTGTGTGGTCTACAGAACAGGCACCTCATCGTCTATTAAGCAGGCAGATTCCAGATCACAGGCACCTTCTGTCCACAGTAATTCTGCTACTAGCCAGAGCGTGAGCAAGGGCAGTTTCATATTCACTGATCTTAAAATCTTTGGTTAAATTAAACTGAGGAATGCATTTGATATAACTGAGCAGAGCTCCCCTATTCATTCTTCGAGCAATGCAAGATGCTGCTTGCTGCAAACAATACATCAACAGCACTGAAAATAAAAGAGTTTACATCACATGTAACATTTTATTCCTATGGAACACCTCCACATCCCAGCTCACTTACTTGAAAGCATTCACAGCCACTACTACTGGGACACCAAACATCCGGGCATTTTGGATTTGCTTGCTTAGGTTACTACAACCTTTTGCCAAGAGTTGAAGATTCTGTAAAGACGACAGCGAGCAGAGGGTACACCTTATAAGGGGCAGTGAAACTTTTGCTCCAAAACCACTATGTCCACAGCTAATGGTAGAAGTGTCAAAATGGGAATAAAAACACAGATAAATTTTCAGAGGGTTGCTTTCTGAACAGCCTGGATCAGTGCAACATCATCACCTTGTGGAATGGCAGACAGGAAGACCGACTAACGACTACCAGTTTCAGCTGTCCAGCCAAGGTAGAAGGAATCACTTTTAATCGTTATTTTTATTCTTAACGGCCCAAGTTAAGACTTATGCTGCGTAATTCCCCTTACTAAAGCCTCCTTTTCCCCTGCGACACATTCCTCTATGTATAAACATCATTAGCAGTGAAATTCGTTTTGTGGCAACAGCTTTAGGTTTATACATATTTACATTTTGCAGCATCAGAGATTATCATGGACGTCTGGACATTTTATTCCTTCCTATGCAAAGCTTAGTTCATACAGAAGCTCCACGTGTGAAAAAGCTGCAGCCATATAAAAAGAGCCAAACCAATTATCCAAGTGTATACAACCATTCAAAGAACAAGGTTAGAAGCTGAGACGTTAGTTCCCTTTCCTCTGCTTGCAAGGGAAGGGGGAAAAAAAAATCTGCTGCTGCTAAGAAAAGAGTAATTAGACAGGCACTCTGAATATTTTCAGAGACAGTATTTCAACCAAGCAATTACTCTATACTGAGAGGGTCAGGGGACATGGAGCAGATATCACAATGAAAAATTGAGCACAAAGACAGTTGTGTGAGCTCAGAAGAAATAAAAGGCTCTGAATACTGGCTAGGTCAAGTACAATAAATGCTTGAAAGAAAGAACAGAGCCAAAGGATAATCATCAAAAAAATTTAAAAAAGGGTGGTGGGGGGGAACATTACAGCTTGTACGAGGAAGCATTTCCCCAGCAGCTAAAGAAAGGACACACACACTAGCTATTCAGGCATGCACTGCATAACAGTATCTTGTAATAACTGCAGTTAGTTGGTCAGCTATTATACAAATAGTTAAAGAAGGTTACCTCTTCTGCGTACTCCTTTGGTAAAGGTACCCCAGCAGTGACCTAGAGGGGGGTGGGAAAAAAGAAAGGACAAAAGAAAAGGAAAAAGAAAAAGAGGGAACGGCAAAAGATATTTATTCATAACAACGATTTGCTCTGGGTTATTCTTAAACTGAATCAAGATATAAGACACTACTTATGGCCAATGCACAAGTGCCCCAGCACGCAAATACTTCATTAGGACAATAAAACAAGTGTAGCATGCTACATGAAACAGCTTGCAGCCAACAGAAACATATGGATTCCTTTTCCAACAGCAAATCTCAAGACAATACATCAAAATCCACAGGGTTTTAAGTGACTGGACTGGAAAAAACATAACCACCTTGCAAGCCTAAAGGAAATCTTGCCTAGTACTTACTGCAGGCCCTCCACCATGCATTTTCAGAGCTCGGACAGTGGCAACCAACACCACCACATGAGGCTGGAGACCAGAGTAACGGCACTTAATGTTGAAGAATTTCTCCATGCCAATGTCTGCACCAAATCCTGCTTCTGTAACTAGAGGAGGGAAAAGAAAAAAAGAAGAAGAAGAAAAAAAAAAGAAAGCAGCAGCTCATGAGAGGGTGCTGGGCAAGGTCAGTGCTCCGGTTGTACAAATCAGGAGCTTCTTCCAAGATGAAAACCACAGTCACTCAAGATGGGGGGGGGGGGGGGGAAAGCAGCTCCCTCTCTGCAAAAAACATACGCTTACCAACAAAACCGTCTTTTCCCACAAGCTTCAGTGCAATTTTGTCTGCCAACACTGAAGAATTCCCATGTGCAATATTGGCAAAAGGTCCAGCATGAACAAACACTGGTGTTCCCTGGAAAAGGGAGAGAGAGGAAGGGAGGGAAGGAGGAAGGTGGAGAGATGGAGGGAGGGAGGGAGAGAATAAGAGAGTAAAATTTAGCAAATCTGCAGCATTCCAGAAGCTAAGCATTAACAGCATCTGAAGGTGAAGAAATACACTTTTGACAGACAGATCTTAAAAGTCTTCCAATTAAACATTCATTATCAGTACTAATGACTACAGGGCCAACAGGATTATAATAATCTGCAGAAGTAGAGATATTAATCCTTTTAGGAAAAGGATGGTTAAATCCCAGCAACTCTTCATCATTCTCCTGTACCCACACCATCTAGACTCTCAAAACACTTCCTGGTACTAAAGAAAACAGAATGGAGATCCAGCAAAGTTTAGGTTTCTTCAGGAACCATCCCACAAACCAACAGCACACCTAGAAAGGAGTTAGCCTTCCCTTCTAGCCCTGAACTTTAGGTAGGAAACCACAATAAACGTCTCCTCCAACTCTAAGCAGAGTAAGCCCATGCTGATTTGTGAGGAACGAACTAGACTGGTTGCTTCTTGGCGTTAAGCGTGCACATATAGCAAATACTTTAAAAGCCCATCTGCGCTCACCTCTAGGGTCTGCATGAGGTTTGGCTTAATGGCATCTTTCATCAAGACAGTCAGAGCACCAGTCACTCCCTAAAGGAAAAAGACAGAAAAGCAGTCAGTCCCCAGATCTATCAAGTGCCTTCAGACAGTTCCTACGCAGTGCCAAGGCTCTGTTTTTGTCTCGGGGAGCTTTCAGGAACAGGATCCGGTGTTGCTCCAGATACCTTTTACTCTAGACTCCCCCCACCATTTCAGCATCTAGGCTCGTCTCTTGTGCAGAAACAACTTTTAAAGTGAACTCTTGTGCTTGTGAGAAAGGACTAGCCGGCATCACAAAAGGCCAACACTGGAGTCCCTGCATCCTCTTAGGTGTAGCTCTATACCCTGCTGCTTCCAGCAAAGCAAAATCTTGTCATTTCATCCACACCCACCCCAGGAAGGGAAAGCAGTGGTTTGGTCAACCTTGTGACGGACAGTCCATTGGAAACTTAATTGGCTGCTACTCAGCACTTCCAAAAGTAAGTAAAACTACTACCATGTACACTGAGCCAAGTGCTCGGAGCAGATATGAAAACCTGGAAACACTATTTCCTTTTCTCTTAATTTCAACTGGATTGCAGCACCTCATTATGTGAAAGATTCTTTTTTTTTTTTCTTTCTTTTTTCTTAAGAAATTCACTGCTTTGTTTCATTAGTTTCCACCTTTCTAAAAGAAAAGTTTGTTAACATCTAATGGAAAAGCTTAAAACTTCAGTCATCTTGCAAATAATGAAAATCAGAGCCAAATTCATTTCCATGATGACATTTCAGGTCCGAGTCACTCAGTAGCACTTCAATATACGTCCACCTCTATAAAGGCTATGGTTAGTTTTTGCTTCCACATTTCTTCCCAGCTTTTTTGGTCTTCCTGCTAACACAGCTGTGACATTGACCGTATCACGGCAGAAGGATCTGGCCTTGGACATATAATTCTGCCAGTTTGGTCTCTGCAACCACATTTCTGCCTTCATAAGGAGTATGTAATGCAGTCCTAACGATGTGAGCCAACAGCTGCATCTGCAACAAGTATATAACATCCAAAAGAACCTGCTGGATAAGTCTGATACCATCCTCTGCTCTGCAGTTACAATCAAACATAATGAGGTTTTAAAAAAAAAAAAAAAGTCTTGACTTGAAACACTTCTAACACTCAGACTCTACCTAAAACTCAAAGCAACTCCCTACCCAAGGGCCATCTGCATCCATTGCTGACAGGAAGCAAGAGAGACTTTCCCTTTCCAGAAGAGGGGTTTACTCAGGTACTTAAGGTTAAACTTACAGGATGTTAGCCGTACGAACTGAAATATCCAAGCTGCTTACAGCACTTAAGCATGCACCTTCCCTCACTCCCAACAAACGTCTCAAACCATGGCATTTACAGATAAGAGTTCCCAGCCTAACCTCCCTTCTGCAGGGCCGGAGTTGGGCCACATTGCTAACTTAGTATTTCTCAGGCTTGTCCTGGAAGGAAGAAAAAGCAAAAATGGGTAGAGAGAGATGGGAGCTTCGTGCTGTGTCCCATCTTGCTAGGAATGCTGATCAGGATATCCACCCTGTGGATTCCTCTGTGCCACTGGACAGGCATGTTCAAAGAACGCAAGACAAACTTCGCTAACACTGTATCATGCTAACTTGCAAAACTGAAAAATCTACTACATAGGACAACAGGAAGCACCAAAATTATCTCTCTATTGACCAGTGAAACAGTCCTGAACCTGTTCTTTGTCTTGAGGCAAAGTGGCAGGGCACAGTTCAAACACACATACAGAGCTCAATTCCCCTTCCTTCCTCCAAACAGGGTTGCTGTCTCCAAAACATTTCTTGCGAGAAGTTCCTGGGGCACAGGCTATCCTCTGAACCATGCCAACGCATTGTTTGGGAGAGTGCTAGCTGATACCCTCCTTCCAAACGTGCCAAGAACTGGGCTAACGATTAGTGTATGGACAACTGCAACACAGGGCTAGGGCACAAGCTGCAGCGCTATTTTATGTACCAGTAACAGGCATCACTAGCTCCACTACATTCAGCATTTCACACAGTGGAAATAAGGGATTTGTGTCCCTCTCCCAGTTCCTGCCCCCAATCAAAGCCTGCCTTATGGAATTACTTGCTTGCGCTTACTTGCAAAGAATTCCGCTTTTATAACATTGTCTCCCAGCAGAAGATGTTTCATCATCTGTAATTAAAGTTGCACAGGCTTTGTTCCTGCTCAATGTTTTCCTCCCTCCAGGGAGCCTGAGAAACAGGATGGCCAGCAGGACACACATTTTGAATTCTTCCTATTCATATTTATACTTCTTATCTGGATGCCACCATGTATTTCCCCATTAATTCCTATGGTGCTAGCTTCAACTTGACCCTTGTCCAGGCCAGATCGCATGCACATACGCTCTGTGTAAAGTCTCAAACCTTCACTAACTCTAAGGGCTAAGATTTCACCTTTAATCTTCGATATACTAAAGTCTTTTCTGTATGGAACCGTCTCTACGCCTTCCAACCCAAGTCTTTCAGACGCAATAGCAGGTGTTTGGCACTTAAGGACTGAATGACTCTAATGACTCTCTTACAAGGTCATCTGCTGTAACCGGTTCTCCTCTCTTGCTGGAAGCTACTACCATTCTTCCCAGTCGCAGTCTCATATCATCCAACCCATCAGTGAGTGCTAAGACTGCCATGATTTCACTGGTCACTGTGATGTCAAACTGAGCCTGCAAGAGATGAATAAAGACTGTGAACGGAACTCATCATGATTTCCTAGCAGAAATCTTTACCTCCATTAAATTCTTGGAAAAAGGCCAATTATCATTATCTTAAAAAAAATACACACATACATACAAGCAATCTAAATTATTACTCTCAGAACATACTTCACTTCAAACATGCAGCTGTAAGCTAGAATTTTTTCTGCAGCATGAAGTAAAAACTACTTATTCCATTGCTATTATGTGATTCTCTCCTGGCACATAAATTAGTGATTCATGGAAAAACGTTTAACATCAATAAACTGTATTTTTGAAGACTGAGCTTACTAACTTATCTGACCATCACTAAACAGTATAATATACAACAACAAAATCTAGCAGATTCTGTAGAAAATGAAGGGTAGAATTCATATGACATAACAAAGACATCTCCATCTAAGCTAGGCACTCAAGGGACCCTTTCTAGTCAATAAAGAGGCTTTTTGAGCACAATCCATATTAATTCGACAGTTACTTAAGGGTGAGAGTAATCACAGCCCAGATTGCCTATTTTTCTCTGTTGATTAGACAATACATCTAAACAAGCTCAGACGCAGTGTCTAGTTTTGACCGGATGCATTCCACCCAAAGGGCGTGGAGCGGTTAAGGCTAGCAATTGCCACGCATCATATTTGCGAGGGGTATTTGCGCATCGCTGTTACTGTGCCACAGTCATCCCAGTTCAGCAAGCCAACGTTCAGAAGAGAACAGGGGAAGAGGGGAACAGACACTAAAACCGAACGTAGCATTGGCAGTGAATTTAACTGCCTGCTGTAAGGGACTTCTCGGCTTTCTATTTAACAAGTTACTGGTAGAAAATGAAAATACTTGGTTACAGAATCTTGTCTTAGGACTGTGTTTTTCTGTATACTTTTTAAAAGATGGAATAATGCAAGAGATGGGAACAATTACCGTTCGTGAGAATCCTTCTTCTGTTGGAGACTGTCCAATAGTGATTCTCCTAAGGAACCTGTCATTTGTATCCAGCACTGCAGGGATGCAGACAGAAACATAAGAAGTCACACTGCAAGTCATACATTACATTTCTGCCCTATTACAAACACCCAACTAGACCAAGTATGAAGGTTCAGACTAAGATAGCCATCCTGTCCGCAACAACAGCGAGCAGTACTCAGCATGATTCTTCCCCAAAACTGAACTGCAATGATGTTACATGCCCGCAGTTGCACGTTGGAGATGCTGCATTAGATCCAGAGGGAATCAACCTCCCCTGCCTCTGCATTAACCATAAGTCATAAGCCTCCCCAAAAGCAGAGCTGACAGTATTATTCCTTTTTCATCATCATTATTCAATGTGCGATCAGGAAATTACTGCAGCCAAAAGGAAATAAAATTATCATTTTAAAAGTTAAATGATAAAATGGTCACAGTCTACCCTTTCAGTGGTACTAGTTCCACCCAGCCCTGTTAACTCAAATCATCTTGGAAACAAACTATCCAATTTTGGCTTAGATTTGGTGTTTCTTACTATCCGCTTGAAGTATTTCGCAGAAATTTCCCATGAGACAGACTAATTTAGTCACATTGGAGGCTATGAAGCACATTTTGGAGAATATATTTCATGTCGCATTTTCACAAAAGAGAGAGAAAGCAATACCCTTGGGGGTCTAAAACAGAAAGACCCGTCCATATTTGTAATTCCTTTTGCTAGTAAAAAAACCAATTCAGCCAGGCTACTTCACCAGCAGAGACTGATCTTACTTTTAGTTAACTAAGAAAGCAACCACACATCTCAGCAAGCCACTGATTACTGATCTGTGATCTGTATTTGTAATGTCTAGCCTAACAACATATCCCAGGACACTCAAGTTTCAACTAAGTATTTGGACTGAAGATATGAATTTGGGAAGAGGAGCACGGCACTGCCAAGGCGCTTGAGCTGTAATGAGCTTTAGATACTGAGTATGTCAGAAAGTGGTGTTGGCTGAAAAATAGCCTGGCTCATCTGTTTACCAATTCTGTACTTAATTCTGTGTTGCTCTTGCAAGCAGGATGGCCAGTGAGGTACTAGACTCATCTTCCTAGCAAACTGGCCAGAAGAGAGACTTATGCAATCACACCACTGCCCGTCCAGCTACCCTTCCCTTTCCTTTTTAAATTTGCCTTCCAAGTTCAACTGCAGTTTGACAGAACGGTAGATGTTTCAACGGTTACTAAATGCCTACAAGTTTTGCAAACAGGAAGCTGGAGAAAGACAAGATGTGCTGTAGTTAGTCCTTAGGAAGGAAAAAGCAGGCAGAAATTAGTCCTTATCTATTCCACTGGGCAAGAGCTGACCAGCCTGCAAAGGTGTCATGAGTTAACATGGGGAAGCTGACATTACTATGGCTGGGAAGAAAGTGAACAGGGTGGACAGGTGACAAACATAATTTCACAGGAAACCAGGAGTCTTTCACTGGATGCTAACAGCGTAACTTGTTTAACAGGAAGCATTACATAAAACTGCGAAAATCCGTGACAGAAAAAGTCTCTATAAAATATCTGAGAACTACTATTACAAATATAAAGTAACACTGAATCCACATGCGGATTTTGTACTTGAACAGATGTTGCAGGGCATGTATGTTTTAAAATAATTTCTAGCTAAAAAAAACTGCTAGACTGGCACAGTCCCCAGAAAGTATACAGGTGCTTAGCATTAGCAGAGTTTATTCTCACACAAAAAGGAAAAAGCAATTGTTTCTTAGTACTTTTACACTGATTTAACTGCATCTGATGATCCTAGCGTTGTTGTAACAGATTTAGAAACAGTATAATTAGTGAAAAAACATAAAGCTTCCAATTTAAGACTGCAAAGAAAAAAAAAAAGCTATAAACATGCAAATAACAGAACTTTAAAGAGAAAACTCATATTCAAACTAAAATAAAGAATGTATGAATTACTATCGTTCAGATGATGAACAGCACTAGCACTGTCTTTAAAAATCTGTGCACAGAATTCCTTAATACAAATTATCCAGAGCCTGTTGATACCCGAAAACACCTCTTATACCTCTTACAATGAAACTGAATTAAGCCAGATGTTTCTGCTGTTCTGCAGGGTGCAAGTGTCCAGACAGCGCTGCTTTTAATGACAGAACAATGTCTGAATCAATCAGTTGCTATTACTTCTTTACTGCCGTAGTTGAAAGAACTGATTCAATTGGGACAAAAAAATCAAGATCAGTACCTGGAAAGATATATCATTCTCTCATTCTGTAAGCAGATTTATATTGCGATTAATAAGCAAAACTGAGGAAAAAAAAATAATGGCAAGAGAGAAGTCTCCACTACTGTTCCAAGACAGACAGTAATCTTCAACAGTTTACAGTTTGGCTGACTGATGGTAGAGTGCTGGGAAATGAGAATTTATTGACAATTAGACTGCACAGGAGGTAGTGGACTCACTGCTGCTGCAAGTAAAATCCTCGCAATCTACTAACATATCCCAGCAGCATAGTGCAACACCACTGTCCTATCTCACACGCTTCACACACATGTAACAGGGGGACAAGCAGTCCATCTCTAATATTACCCAAAATGCAAAGTTCATCAATTATTACTGCTTTCAATAGCAAAGCTCATGCTTAAGTGGTAATTCGGGCTCCCAAGATCTGTTGCTCGTTACCAAGCTCAGAGGCTGCCAAAGGACATAACGTACTTCTGGTAGGTGGGATGAATCTGAGGCAAAGAAATTCATATTGTTCGAAAATTTCAAAGGTACCTAAAGACGTAGGTCAGCACTAGTAAAGATGGAACAAATGTTTGAGTAAGATGGCGTTTAAAATCCGTTTAATTGCAAAATTGTGTGGGATATAAGCCCAGCGCATTTATGCGTGCATGCTTTTACCACTGGGCACCTACCTATACCTTCAGGTATCTTTAAAAACCTTTTAAAATCTAGCCTTTACCTGCTGTCAGCCCCTATCAGGGCATCCTGAGCAGTGTCCTCTTAGTGCTCACAGCCTTTTTTCAAACAGTCAGGCAAAAAGGCCGTTGGCTGCAGTTGCCAATCTCTGAACTCTAAGTGACTGACAAAACCAGAAACAAAAACTTGTACCAGTTTGTGAATTCAGAGCAGACTTTGCTAAGATGAAGACTGAAGCTTCTGTGTTAGACCCTTTAGCAATGAGATCCCAGCTGCAGTCCAAGAAAACATCTATTCTACCAAACACTCCAAAACAGAGGCCAGTCTGTCCCTCTCTCCCATTTTGCCAAGAAAAACAGTTCCTGCTGCATTTACAAACCTCTTTTTTCACACACATTTTGTGGCCTAAAAATTCATTCATTTAATGGTTCTTGTACCTCTTTGCCATGTTATGGTGGCTGGGTCGATATCCAGTCTCACAAATAAGTTTATCTCTTCCTCTGTCAAAGCTGTGGGATCAGTTTTGTTGATGCCCAATTTCTAGGTGGAAAAAGGAACAACAAAAAAAAAAAACAGAATGAAAAGATTTACAGAAATGAACTTTCTTTAAAGCAATTAGCCTTTGGCAGCAACATCTGCATTTTCAGAAATTCGGAGCGGATGCCTTTTTGGTGCCTTCTCCTAGGCCCCACACAACATAGGAGGATCCATATCAGCGTCTACCTGGAAGAAGAGCTCGCTGCTAGCCAGCTAGTAAAGGGCAATGCTGACAACAGAGCTCTTTGGCGTCGGTTGTCACCAAGCTGTGTGTAAGGCATCTACAGAAAGAGAGAGAGAGAGAGAAAGCTCTGCAGTTTCTTACATGCCTTGTTCTAATCATTAGCCTCACATGCTTACATCCATTTCTCATTAGCTTGCCTAGGGTCATTGCACACAGCCCTGTGTACTGAAAGACACTGCTTTCAGCATGCTGGTTAAGCAGCACAAAGGAGGACTTAAACAATTCAGTCACAAGGCTGTCAGCGTCCCAGAAAGCTGATCTTGAACACACTGAGAGGATGGGCAGTTTGCCAAGTTGCTTAATTGAGAGAAGAATTATCTCAAGAAGCCTGATATAAGCGCAAGCACAGGAATGGGGCAAACGACTGAGCTGATGTATGAACGAGCAATCTCATTTATTTATTTACTTTTATCAGGCAGCTAAGTCCGCCTTTTCTCCAGAACAGCAGGGCAAGAGAAAGTCTCTTCTCTTCTTCTTCAAGCACAGCATGTTTAAAAATCAAGAGCAGCTCCCTTTCTGGAGTATTAGCATACCTTTCACATCTCAGCACTCACGAACCAGAAGAGTAGTTTAGGTGGAGTTCCCTCAGCAGTCCATCAGTAACATCAAGCAACACGATATAATTTCCTTGCTCAGCAGAGGAAGCAAATCACGCATTTTCTTAGGCTTGAGATGTTATAGCCAATTAATAAATCAAAGCTTTAGCTTCCTAAGTATTGTTCCTAGACTACTGTTCCTGATCTCCAAATGGGCAACTGATCCAGCCTGACTTCTGTACAAACAGGCGAGGTATGCAACTTGGAAAGAGCTCAGCAGGCCCTAGACAAAAGGTCTGAGCTCAATGTAAAACTACTCCTCTGTTATCTTCATTTTTGCAGAGGCCAGGGACACACATGGGTTCACATTCATTTCTGAGGATGAGAAGACCTGCAGTCTACTCAGGGACTGCCACTCATTGACCAGACTGCTCATTTAACCAGGACTTTTTTTTTTTTTTTGGGGGGGGGGGGGGGGGGGGGGGGTTGTCCATTTTTTCATGTTTGTTCCACCCGGATAACAAAATAAAATCCTCTCCCTTCTCTTTTTGCTGTATCCTAAACTTGCTTCTTTTGTGCGGCATTATCTCAACAGCTATCACACACATAGGAAATATTTATCTTCAGTTGTAACTGAGTATAAGGGACAAAAACTGTTCCTAGTCCTCTCTTACGCTGCATTAAAGACACCAAATTGACACTAGTAATAAAGGGCACTAATCCCTTTACCTCTTCCCACTATGTTACTCATACAGTGTATGACAAACGGAGTTAGATCAACGATTCTTCCCCCTTGGGGCTGTGTCTCATCCTTATCTGTGCTGAAGAGGAGGGCTACCACACTTTTGCACATTTTATGTGAACGATAAATGCCAGCAGAATAACCTACAAGACAGCACAGTGGTCTCTGCAACCTGTCTCTGCTTATGCAATGAAAGAATAAGAGGAACAGAACCAGGAATCAACCTGAGACCAGTGAACTTACCTGTAGTCTTCGGATCTGAATGTCTGAGAACTTCCTAACGCCGTTGATAGGAGGCACCAACCGGTTATAGAGGGCCTTACAGAATGAAAGGCACAGTTAGTGGGGGGCTGGCATACCCAAAATACCTTGACCAAAGTGGGCTGGGCTCAAGCACATCATAAGAAAGGATCATACCTGGTCAGTCTGATTTAGCTCATGGAACATACGTGCATCAACAGCAGCAGCAACCAGGTTGTTCGCAGCAGTGATAGCATGGATGTCACCAGTGAGGTGAAGGTTAAACTAGAGGATATAAAACACATCAGTCACCTCACTCTGCTGCAATTTTCGTTTATTTCAATTCATTGTAGCCAGATGGAAAGAGAAATATTAATAGCAATGTCAAAGTGGGTGAGGGTAGAAAGGGAGAGACTGCTCAGCACAGTCTGTGGAAGAGAGGAAAATTCTCTAAAACAGAAAAACGCCTCCCCCACATTTATGTCATATTACAAACTTCCAGAATGAAGCCTCCACATAACAAGATTTTTGCACAAGAGCAGTTCTGCCAGGCTCCTTGATACCCGAGAAGACCATGGAATTACACATCTGCATGGCACCTCCTTCACCTTCCTTCTGACCCACTCACAGTATTTGCACAACAGGTTTGACACCCACATTAGCTGAAGTGGCTGCTCCCGCAAAGATACCCAAGCTAAATTCCAACTAGCAGCCTTGGGTAGTGACAGCAGCAGAGCTGTGGTTGCACAGAGCTCTGCGTAAGCTAACCACTCAAACACTTGCACGGTATCTTAGGCCGAACACAGTACACAGTGACACTGCTAGTAAGTGTCTTGGTTCTATCTGATTTAAAGATAGTTTGAGGGAGTTTGTCTTCATAAGTTATCTAGCTGCACTGTAGCTATACTGACAGGAGATTTAGAACATATAGCTTACCTGACAAACAATAATTAGGGCAGGGGAGAGAAGGGTGTGGTTAAAACCATCTTTTCTCTGTAGCAGTGCAGCAAAGAAGGAAAATGACAATAGAAAAGGTCGTATGACAACAGACCTTCAGATACCACGCACTTCATCAGAGCCTCGCTACTGTGGTGTTAAAAACCAGACAGCTAAAAACGGGAGTGGAATGTCACGTGCTAATCATCAATCTAATTAGCAAATGCTAATTATTGCCTCATTCTGATACGTGCAACAAGAAACAATTACTATCAGCATGGTTCTGCAGTCCTCACTGGAAAGTTTCTCACTAGATAAGTACTTCTCGGGATGAATGCTGCATGCAGAAACATCCAATGATATAGCAAGGTCATTACTGTGAGTAGTGACTCCGGGCATTTGCATTTTATAAGGCATGCATTGATTAAAACACTCCCACAAGACTATAGCACGTGTACTTCTACCACGTGGGTCACACTTAAAGAAAGTTCTTTCAGCCAGCTTCCTTCCAAGAGCGGGGCTGTTTCCCACTGCTGCACACAGTCAAGTATTTTGGCTCGTCTTATTAACAATCGCAAACTGGAGGAGATTATTTTTCCTCAGTGACATCTATCATTTACAGATGTTCTTGCCACCTGACTAAATCAATCTGCCATCTAGTTAACATTTTTATCTTTTATGAACTTGCCACATCAATCGGAACAAACAGCCCTTTGATCATTTCTGCTTTTCCTCCTCGAATTGCCCTGCATCAGTCAGTGCACAAGACAAAGGTAAGATTTTACAGTTACAGGGGAGTTGGGGGAAGCATGAGAGCACGTGCTAGCACACGTGCCTTTCAGTTCCCTGCCCCCAGACACAGAATTTTACTTGCTGCCAAGTCACGTTAGAAATATGCTAAAGTGCTAGTCACCTGCAGGCTGAAGTCTCGGTACTATTGATTCTCAGCTTCCCTCTTCCCATCACATATTAATCTGAAACGTAAGTACACTGAAATAACTCATAGAAAAAGTAAGCGACTACTGCTGCTGACTTAACTACTTAATATGCTTCCAAGATGTAGTAAGTCATTATGATCTTCATTTCAGTGCTGAGAAAAGGAAGCACAGGATGTACTTTGCTCAAGGGCACACAGCAATTCAGGGGCAGAAAAGGGCAGAGAACAGACATTCTGAACTCCCAGTTGTATGAAGTATTCCCTGACCATGCAGACATCTTTCTGAAGCATAAGGAGATGTTTGTTTGTAAAAAAAAAAAAAAAAAAAAAAAAAAGTTTTTTGAAATCAAGCACCTCTTCCTTGACAGCTACACTGGGCCATAAACTAAGATATTTCATAAATTATCTGACTACAGTATCTCTTCAAAGTCTGCAAGTTATTACGTACAATGAGGCTTCATATTAAAAATTACCTCTTCCATCGGGATAACCTGAGAATAGCCACCACCTGCAGCTCCACCTATAGAGAGACAATAGTCAAATCATGCAAATAAAGGTGTCCTTAGCCCAGAGTGGTATCCTATGTGTTTTCTTAATGGTCTTAAGAAGCCGCCTACTGTTGAACAGCTTAGTTAAAATCCTAGCACAGCAGTTAGGGACAAAACTGAAGAACATACCCAAGGTTTTTCTTTCTTAAAGAAATGTAATCCTAACCGGGAATTACGCAAAACTGTAAGAGCAGAAAATAAGATCCATCTCTGAATACCGTCTTTTCCTATTCATTCCAACTGCAAGCAACAGAACAACTGATACCTTTTATACCAAAGGTTGGCCCCTGAGAAGGTTGCCGAACACAGGCAAAGACGTTCCGGTGCAGGTGCGCTCCTAAGGCTTGAACAAGACCTACGGTAGTGGTGCTCTTCCCCTCTCCCAGTGGAGTAGGAGTTATTCTGCAGTACAAAGCACAATAAACACAGTGAAGCCCTTGCGGTAGATGAGACTCAAAACACTTACAGGGATAACAGGCACCAGTGAGTGCAGTTAATGCCAACTCAAAATCTGGACTGGTTCAGACTTGAGCTAATCTTCAACAATTGGAAACTGGGATGAGATTGGTAGATTATTATACCGATTTCCTCTAAAACAACTTCCTGGCAACTGTTGGACTAGGAGGACTTTGAAAAGAGCAAAACAATGAGGGTCCAGAGGAGAACTGCTAAATCACATTCCCACTACTTGCCATAAGAGACAATTCTAATTATCTAAGAGATAATTCTATTTCCCAAACAGCTAGATTTTCGGAGCGATTTGTTAAAACCCAGAGCACTGCATACACCTTACCAAAGGGCAATACAGTGACAAGCCACGTTGACAGAATTTCTTTTCACTTTGACACCACGTACGCAACGCTTCCTAAGTGAGGGAAGTACCTACCCAGTAACAACAACGTATTTGCCATCTGGCTGGTCCTTCAGCCGTCTGAGAGCCGACAGATGAACCTTAGCTTTAGTTTGGCCATAGAGCTCCACCTCATCAGGGAGAAGGCCAACTTCTTTTGCAACTTGATCAATGGGCTTGGGTATGCAAGATCGCGATATTTCAATATCACTTAAAGAAAGAGCGCAAGGTCAGTTCATAAAACACAAACTGCTTACAGATTACCTGCTTCTGGCAGGCATGACCCACAAACACTCAACCTATATTTTAAAAGGGAAGCGACAGGCTCTCCTAGCTAAATGAATCAATCCCATCAACATTGGTGGTATTAGAATAAATGCGTGTTGAAAGTGGATTTTTTTTTTTTTTAAATAAAGAACGCCTTTCTGTAGATATCTTTTATGTTCCCTTACGGCACTTTGCATATATTTAACTCGGGGGCTTTACACCAACAGCTCCTACTTCAAGGTGCTATGTTTTTGTTATGTCAGACTGAAAAGCGCCCAAAAAACAACAGTGCCTTGCTACTTACTGAGTCAGCAATTATCTAGCTGGTCTAAACAGTCGGTGGAAGTTCATGTTTCATGCCTTAATGATATCCATATGACCTGAGCCTACACTTCTCTGAGGGACATTAATGTAAAATGGCAAGGTGTATCATAGCAGCACTGCAAGCTAGTTCTGCTCCCTTAGGAACGCCCCGCAGCGTTTTCCATACCTCTTTTCAAACTTCAACTTTGTGTACAATCCATATAAATTAACTTTGGGAGGATTCATACGGTTCTATGGAACTAAAGACCAGTCCTGCACTAAAGCGGGGCCCTGGTAAATCCAAAGGGCTCTAGGGAGATGAAGAAATCTACCCAAGCACATTATTCTCTTAGGCCAGACCTATAACATTGCCATCATCTTACAAAAGAAAGCAGCTGAAGGAAAAAAAACAAAAAAAAATCCCCCCCCCACACACAAAGGGGTTCATTTCCTAAATAAGCCTGCCACCAGTGTTCTCATGGATGCCCTGTATTACACAAAGCTTGAGAATGTAAGTGAATACTGCACTGCATGAATTCTGCCAGTGGCTTCACCAAAAGCATTACCTGGGAACAGGCATCTTTAGGGTAAGATGGTTATATTGGATGTTCCATTTTCCAGGCTGGAACTTCCCCAGAAAACGTTGCGCGCTCTCCACTGTACTCTAAAATGAACGTTAAAATATACTATAGCAATCACTGCTGTATGAACCACAATGGTTAACACGTAGAGGCTGAGAACGGATTTCCCTTCCCCTATGTCTCAATCTGGGATTAACATAAGGTGCTTCGATTAAAGTCACTGCTAAAAATCCAGATTAAGGTTTCGCTTGTAATTTTCTTAGAAAGAAAAAACATCTATATATCTTCCAGTGCACTGTCATTTTTTTTTCCTTTGCATTCTGTGCCAGCAGGCTCTCTTGAGCAAATCAGGCAACAAGAGAGTTGGCTTATACTCTTCTTCTCCCCTTTATCCCATCACCTTGTGAACAGTTTTAGAACTGCACACAAAGCTTTGTAAAATAAGCCCGTTTCTCATAGCTTTAAGAGGCCACAGCCAAAACAAACCAACCAACCCACCCACCCTATTTCTGTCCTAACATTTCCTTTAGGTACATCTTCTCCCTCAATTAACTCAATCCAAATTGTTTGAATTAGGAATTGGAAATCTTAATTGGTCTAGACCTTCCTAAAGCAAGAAAGAAGCACAGCTGTTTTTAGCAGCATGGTAACGGTCAGCTGCAACACACCCCAAAAGGCAAATCCAGAGAAAACGACCAGCAGTCTCACAGGCTATTCACATACCTGCATTAACATGGCCACAGTCATAGGCCCAACACCACCAGGGACAGGGGTGATGTAGGAAGCTTTTTCCTTTGCTGTATTGTATGCCACATCTCCTACAACTCTTTTCCCACTGGCCTTTGTGCTGTCTGAGGATTTAAGGAAAAAAAAGCTAGACAGATCACATTTCATCAAAACGACAGAGAAGGCAGCACTGACTGATGCTCAAGTCTTTCCCTCTGTTGGAGTAACCAGATCAGAAGCTGAGTCCCCCAGCAGTTACAAACAAAAAAAAATAACAGCATGAGACAAAGCTGTTATCACTAAACTTCATTCGGAGCAGACTGTCGGGGCTCATGCAACCAGCAGCCCAGTAGGCACCATTTATTCTCAGGCCAGTTAGATCAGAGGGTCTCTCCCTGAGGATGCAGGTACTTTCGCAATGGCACATGCCATATGGCAGTTTGAAGAAGATGCCAGAACAAATGCAGCTTCTGGTTGCAGAGGGACCAAAACCACAGCCCAAGTCTCAGATCTGTCGAGGTATAAAAAGCAAATGAGACATACAGTAGAGATGTTAGCTGAACCATCCTCTCACAACTCTTGCTGTATTGCTCTGCAGAGACTGTATAGCTTCCAGTTTGAAAGCGATATAAACCAATGGTCTAGAAGACGTGAGAGAAGAAATATAGTTTGCTTGTACCAAAAACCCAGATTTACATTTCCTCTTCCATTCTTGCGGAAATCTAGGCCTCACTATTGAATAAAACCACATGCCTTTACAGAAACTGAAGGCAGAACGTGCTGTGCTTTTCAGTCACTCGCTAGCTTTCTGATGATGGACCAGTAAATACTGCAGCTCACAGAGATCAGTGTCTTGCCAGAACAAACCTCACAGGTAGTTTAAAAGAGCTCCAGCAGAGTAACCTCTTTTCTCTCTGGCAAAAAAAAATGCCATCCCCTGCTAAGCTATGCAACCTGACAATTCAGAAGCAGCTACAGCGCTTTTTTTTTTTTCCCCCCCCCAGTGGCGACCTATTCACTGGTGACCAGGAAAGCTCAGCCATAAAGAGCAAAAGAGAAAATTCATTAGTAAACTGGTACTGTCATCTAACGAACTCACTGATTTTAGACACAACGTAACAAAAAAGCCAATTTAAGTTTCTCTCCTAGAGCAGCAGATCCTCATTTCAGTTATGACGACTCTAGGGAACTTTTTAAGTGATGTGAAAAAACTGAAGATAGATTTTAATGTTGCCACACTGAAATATTACATTGCATACAGTAAGCGTATGTTTGAACAGAACATAACCAATAACTTGAACATACATTTGGTGAGAGGGAGGAGTGGAGGAGAAACCAAACTCCTGAACAGCTGATTACAGTAAAACTAAAGAGCAAACAAAAGCAGCTCCCACCAACACTAATTTTTAGCTGCATTGCTACTGACAATGAGCAGTTTGGATGTTTTGCTGTGTTTGTGTTTTAAGCAATGCTCTTCCCTCCCCCCTCCTCCCCCCCAAGTTCAAAGCTTGAACAACGTCACAGCTGTTAGGCAGTGTTTCTACAGCAACTGTCAGCTTTGCTGCCTGAATTGCAGAGCAATCTGGCCTCCCAGCCCAGAGAGCAGTTTAATTAAGGAGGCAAAAGGAAAATAATATAATTTTCTTCCAAGGATGCTAAGCAAGCTTACCAGTCATCCCAGCCAGGAAGACTCCAGCCCCAAGAACGAAGAAAACAAACGATGAATTAGGCACTCCAAACGCAAACAGCCTGATCTGCTACACAGACACAGTGATGAGCCCAAGCCAAAAAAAATGAAAAAAAAAATCCATGCCTCTGCTTCCACACCACATGCCAAGCACTGCTGACAGAAACTTAGGAGCTATTCAATTACCTTTAAAATAATTTTTTTTGAAGGAAAGCTCACATCCACACTAAGTACTCATCCTCCTGTTCGTTTAAAAACAAACTAGTTACCAAACATCAGCAACACTAAAACTGTTCCCAGTGCCTGTGCATCTTCCTTGGTCCAACAGGCTCTCTAGCCAGCTAGAACATACGACAGAGAGCATCTAGGGACTTTGAGATCAAAGAAACAAAGGACAGACCTACACACATGGGACAGACAGGTATGATTACCTATATCTTCTTCCCGAGATGGCTGCATGGGAGATAGCTCTAGTCCAGAAGCTGCATTCAGGCTAATAACTCGCCCCAGTTTGGTGAGCCGAGGGCAGGGAACGGCTGCCAACCAAACTTGTGTCAATTATCTTCCTCCTGCACACGTGTATCTGTAACATGTTTCTGGTGGACGTGTGACTTCAAATGCACAAGACTACACATGACCCTCATCTGCACAACATGAAGCCACCTGCTTGCAGGTAGAGAAAATGGGTAGAGAAATGCTGCTTTTTCCGGACATCAGTAGGAATGGTATTTCATGAGGAGTGCAATACAATCTGATCTTAGAGGCCTACGATGCCAGCTTGATTCCCATTACGCGGGGATCTAAACAGAGCATCAGGTCAAGGCTCTCTATGTCTTTCTAGTTCATCTGGCATTTCAATCGCATAGCACAGAGACCCACAGAGGCTGACCCTCTTTGGCTGCTCTCACATCCCAGTGTTCGAGGTGTGGCTGGAGCCACAAAATCCTATGGCATTGGATGATTCTGAACTGGGTTGCTTCCTCTATCACAACTCACAGAAGAACACTTTGGAGACTGTCATTTCTGGGAATATCCTCTGTTCGTTTTCCTCTCCTTTCCTATAGCAGAGCAATTTCTACAGGCCTGGAACAAGGCATCCAGGACATCTACTGGGCTAGTCCTAGCCCCCCAATAGCAGCAGTAGGGAGAGAAAGGCAAATACAATCCAGTTTGGAAAGGGAATACGACACACTTGTCTGCTCTAGGTTTGATGTTTTGAAAGC